AGGATTTCACAGGTTACATAGGACACAATTGGGGCATATTAATCCATCTTTCTTCTTTCTTTCCAGTGCTACCAGTTATCATATCATATGGTTCTCCCAATTTACCATCTCCCTAGTGCACTGGTGCGAAACCTACTGCATCACATTGCTGTTTTGTGATGTTTTTCTCTCTTTATGGAGTTGAGGTGGGCGTGGCTTGTGTGTGATGCATCTGGCCCGCGGGCCGCCAGTTTGACACCCCTATCCTAGTGCCTTCTCCCTACCCTTGAATTCCTGCTGTCTTCCCTGGGACCTCATAGCTTGGGTATGTCCCATGCTTGGATTCTCCGAGCAGTGCACAGGAGAATCATTGGATTACATGAACGGTCGTTTCTGGCCACTGCAGGAGAGTCCAACCCGCCCTGGGGTTTATTCCCTCTCTGCTAGATTGCATCAGGCTGTGTGGAACAAAGATATTGTTGACAAATCCGGAGTATACACCGTGCACACGTCCATCACAGACCAACACCTTCGTTTTTGAGTTGGTCCTCAATGAGGAGAGGAGGCGTGGCTAAGAAAATCAACTCAGTCCTTGGGCAAATAGACTGAATTTAACCCATGACTCTCCCGCAACGCTCAGAGAACGACCGTTCAGGTAAGCCAACGGTCATTCTCTTTATCATAAAACACTCTTACAATCTTACTCAAAACTCTTCTGCTTGGAATCCCTGGGCCTTCATCCATATTTAGAACTAAGGAGTCCAGTCTGCTATGTATCCTGACCAAAAGTGTTTTGAAATAGAAAACTTGTTTCTCCAAATGTTCCTAAAGTATTGTGTGGCATGCTGCTCAGATTGCATGTGCGGAATGTTATGGGAAGTTGTGTGATCCTCCTTGTCTCAGCATCATACTAGAAATTATTCCTACATAATTTTAAAATATCAGGAATGCAGTGGCTAAGGCACTGACCGTGTCGATCAGAAAGGTTGACAGTTCAGCGGTTCAAATTCCTAGCACCGCATAACAGAGTGAGCTCCAGTTACTTGTCCCAGCTTCTGCCAACCTAGCTGTTCAAAACCATATAAAAATGCAAGTAGAAAAATAGGGACCACATTTGGTGGGAAGGTAACAGTGTTACCTACGGTGTTTGGTCATGCCGGCCACATGTCCACAGAGACGTCTTTGGACAGTGCTGGCTCTTCAGCTTTGAAATGGAAATGAGCTCCGCCCCCTAGAGTTGAGAACGACTAGCACATATGTGTGAGGGGAACATTTACCTTTACCTTAATTTGAAAACAAGTTCCAAGTAGCAATCGTTTGCTCAAACAAGCTCATTCAACTTGAAATTGTAAGATAAGATAGTCAGATTCTGACAAAAGAAATACTTTCCTTCTATAAATGGCATATATATTTGAGTACACACACACACATGTACGGACACATGTATATTATAAAGGGGGGGAAACTATCATAATGAAAGAGATGTAAAAATGATAGATTTCTGACCAACTTGGAATGCTTTTAATTATTCCTAGAAATAATCAGCGAGCCAGCCAATAGCTTGAATTTCCAAAATAAGTTGTTATTATAAAATAAGTCAGAACTTATTAGTACCAACACATGGAGTACAGATGATTCAGGGTGGGTAAAAAAGATGCCAAGGTTTTCACAATAGCATTGCTGGCTTCAGTCCATGTTGGATTTGAAGGATCATAAAAGAATCCTCAAGATAGCCTCCATTGTAAACCTCACTGAAATCTATTAAGCAATTTGTATTTTTATCCCTCATTTCAAGAGGGAAGAGCCAAACATAATGCTCTAGACAAGGTGTTAATCAACATTTAGTTTTCCAGAAACAGCTAAAATACAATTGCCAGCATCCTTCACTATTGATCAGGTGGGTTGGAGCTGGTGGTGGTGAACATTTCAATCATATCCAGAGAGGCATTTTTTTGTCACTAGGAGAGATTTATTCCTATCTCTGTGTAGGTAGATACTAGATGGGGGTGACATTTTCTTCATTGTACGGTTTCACTTGGCTGCTTTGCCTCTCAAATAGTGTACATAGTATTTTGTGTTATAATGACTTAGTCACCTTTCGGATCTGATGCTACTGCAAAGATAAATGTCACCTGTTTTATTTATTTATCTGTTTATGGAATTTATTGGCCATCCATCTTACCACAAGGTAACTCTGCTATTGATGAGAGCAAGTTAAGACCCCAGATATGATTCTTCACAATCATGGGGGTCGGTTGGAGAATGGTGGATTAAAAGGAAAGACCATGGTGAATTGTTTTTCCTGAATGTTTATTAAGGACAAGTTGCTGCCATTCGTATCTGTCATTTGCTGTCAGTTGAATGTAAATATATAATTTGCGTCCTTTGATATGGAAGCAATGTAACATATATGTACATGAACTGTTACTTCAAATTCCACGGTCTGTTATTTTGGAAAGAGATGTGACCACAAATACTGCCAATTGCTATCCAAACTGGCAAATCAGGGAACTGTTAAATCATGACTTACAGCATTTAGAATCCCTGTTCCAGTAGATGACAACTTCTGGCTAATATTGTTTTTGGCTTAAAAATGTGTTTATGATGTGTTTGTGAGGTGAAATGGATATCCTGCTGCAATCTAATAGAGTTTATAGCCAGGAAACACCCCACATACACAAACACAAATAATAATACAGACACAAAATATTGAAAAACTTAAGTGGCTTCAGGCCCCAACACACACAAATCACAAAGCTATAGTTGTGTGACCTTTCTCTTTTAGTCTAATCCAGCTCACAAGGTTATTGCAGTGGCAAAAAATAGGAGAAGAAGAGGTTATAGATCTGTTATGAGTTACTTATGAAGTAATAAAGGCAGGATAAAAATCTTTATTAAATTTTGTGTTACTATTATTATATTTTATTATTCACAGTACACTGGCTCTAATGTAGACTTTTCTATTGTACTTTTTAAATGCCATTGTATTCTTTGAGGCTGAACTAAGATGGTATCATTATCTGAGAAGGAAATGTTATTTAAGAGCTCCTATATCCAATGGAGCTAAGCTACACTGAGCTTGCAGATATTAAGTTTTGAATAGCCATAGATGGGATTAAGCTATCAAGCAAATAATACAACAATGGAATTAGCTGTATTTAAACATCTTATTGAATATATGTGTTAATTTCAAGGCTAAATATTAAACATATCAATTAATGTTTCAGTTATTTTCATTATGTACCCAAATGTAAAGTTGATTCTATTCAGTGCCATTCTACCTATTTCCTTTCAGATAAATTTAAAGGAAAGAAAATTAATGATTATAGCAATAGCACTTAAACTTACATACTGCTTCATAGTGCTTTACACCACTTTCTAAGCGGTTTACAGAGTCAGCATATTGCCCCCAACAATCTGAGACCTCATTTTACCAACCTCAAGAAGATGGAAGGCTGATAAACCTTGAGGCAATCAGGATCAGCCTGCAATACTGCATTCTAATCACTGCACCACCAATTCTGATAATAAAAAGCATTATGAGTAGTACTTTTTAAAATTATCCACATACAGTACACTCACAGATAAGACCACCTATAATTAAACCAGCGCTCAAATTTTTTAACCACAATACCATGAAAAATACACCACCCACAGATAGGACAATTGTAAAAATTAAGGCATATGAAAATTTTGAGAGTCAGCTTATTTGCTAGCGGTGTATTTTTGGGGGTATTTTGCTTCGAGAGTTGGTTTATCAGCTTATACAGGAATATATACAATTACTGGTAAATACCAGATTACAAACCCTGTTTGTAATGGAGCCGAGGTGACGCAGTGGTTAGGGTGCAGTACTGCAGGCCACTTCAGCTGACTGTTATCTGCAGTTCAGCGGTTCAAATCTCACCGGCTCAAGGTTGACTCAGCCTTCCATCCTTCCGAGGTGGGTGAAATGAGGACCCAGATTGTGGGGGCAATTTGCTGACTCAGTTTGCTAAAAATCTGTAAACCGCTTAGAGAGGGCTGAAAGCCCTATGAAGCGGTATATAAGTCAAATAAATAAATAAATAAACCCATTGTTGTAATTATTTTTCAAAATATCTTATAATGATTCACTGAGGGATTCCCCACAGATTAAAAAAAATGAAAGATATGAATATCATTTTTTCATAATTTTGCCCTAATATACCTTGCGTGCTTAATTCAACTCTTCAAACTTTTTTAGAGAAAGACAGCACGACATCTCAAATCCACTTAAAACATTAGGTTATTCTGAATCTGAAAACCATAGTCTGGTGCAAGGATTAAAGGTCTATGCTGGGTACCAGCGAGATGCAGCTTCAAGTCCATTCTCAGGCAGGAAAACTTGGTGGGTGACTTTAGACTATTCTTTCTCAGCCCCAAGGTGGTTGTGTGGAAAAATTGGAGCAGGCAATGTAGTTTATGCCAGCTTGAACACTTGCTGATCAGTGGAATAAAAATTGAACGTTTTTAAAGAGGAAATTATAAGTGATTATTGCACACCAAGAAAGATGGGGGTGGGGGAAGTCTTAGATTTGTTATCATTTCAGTTGATGTAGCTGTGATGTGATCGTTTAAAATGGGGGCTGAATTTTTGCACCTGAATTTTTGTCTGCTGCCATTATATCTCTTATCATTTCAGTTTCCTAATCTTCATATCTTGAAGGAAGCATGAAATAAACACAATTGAAGGAACTACTGATTCAACATGTTTGTTTGTCAGAAGCCTACATGCTATGGACAGACAAATGAGGAATTGTTTACCAGTGGAAGGCAAACAATATAATTCCTTCATTTCCCCAGGGAAAAATGGGCACCACCCTTCAATTGTTTTGTTATTACCTATGTAAATAAATAGGTTTTTTTTGGAGTAGAGCACGACAACATGCACGTTCTCTTCTATTAACTTAATATGTTTAAATACGTTGTTTTATTAATGTGTTTTATCAATATTTATTGATTTCTAAAATTGACTCTCATTCATTTTGTTTTTCCTCCAGTTACAATTACCTCAATTGGAGAAAAAGGTATGATTCTTTCTTTGTAAAAACATTTTATTTCTGTGCATATGTCAAGTTATAGAGTATTTGAGGTTTATCTTGCAAAATTACTAATTGCTTGAGTTTTGGAAAGAAAAAAAAAATGTAATTCCAGCATCAGGCCTTTCTGTCATGTGATTGACGCCTTCAGCTTTTGAAAAAATGGGATCTTGGCAACAGAAATATTGCTGACTCTTGCCTAAAATCTAAAATTACTCAGTTTTCTGAAGCAGCATAAGCTTACCGTTCATCAAATTAAGGATCCACAAGAATTGCTGAGCTAAATAAGCAAAAATAATTTATTCTAGCCAGAAAGTATCTCAAAAAATATGCGGAGTACTTTCCATTTTCCATCCAATAAATACTGGTGTGCCCTCTAACCTACATTCACCAGAATAGTTTGGTCTAGTGGTTAAGGCACCAGATTAGAAAGCAGGAGACCATGAATTCAAGTTCAGCCTTAGCCATGAAAGCAAATTAGGTGACTTTGGGCTAATCACTCTGTCTTAGATTAACCCGTCTCACAGAGTTGTTGTGTGGAAAACAGGAGTTGGAAAGTGTGTTATATATTTTTGCCACCTTGAGTGGCAAAATAATAAAGGTGGGATACAAATAATTAAAAACAACTAACAGCACAAATTACAATTTTCCAAATGTTTGAATTAGTTGCATGTCTTTTTCTATAAACTGAATATTGCTGCAACTTCACCTGTGAGGTTCAAATCAGCAATTATATATATTAAACTACAGATTTCAAAGATATTCGTACTCTTTCCCTCCAAATTCCACCCCAGAATGTTCTGCTTTCCCCAGCAATGCCTCTCCTTTCTTAACAGCCTTTAAAATGCAAAATAATGGGACTGGATTCTTTGTTCTTTGCTTTTTCTATGGAAAATGGTAGGGGAAAGCCGGTTACAGATGATGTTAGGAAATAAAGAAAGGCTGCAGGGTGAAGGAAACAGATGCTTAATTAGAGAAGAATAGGAAATTAGAAATTTCCTTTTGACATGTGTAATCTTGTAAGATCATCTGTTTAAAAGATAAAGTAATTTGTTCTTATAAAAAACGATCTTCAGTTGTAATTAAGTGTCAGGAACTTGTTGGCTGGAGGATTCTAGAAGGAATGTCTTCTCAAGATCAAAGATGAAAGCAACTACTCATGTTCTTTAGCTAATAAGATCTGGAAAGACAGTAACGGGAGAAAAAAGTAAAAAAAAAGATGCATGAAAGCAGCGGTGTTAAACTTTGAGAGAGAGATTTAAAAATAACAAGTTGCAGCAAAATAATGAGTCAGTTCCCATCTTAGCCTGCCAATCAGTTTTCTACTACCCAAGGAAGGAAGAATGATCAAACCTTTGCTGATATCATTCAGCACTAGAAAAGAGACTTCCTCCAAAATATACTTCAAATTTTTCTGGTCACAGATTTAAGCGCTACAATGCAACCTTGTTCTTATTAAAGAAATTAAGTCCTTGGCTTCTTGTGAAGTAAATTTCTCAAAGGGTATCTAGAAAAGGAATCCTTATTTAATCATTCCTAATAGGGATAGGCATAGACTAGGCAATTGTTATGATAAATAGTCTGAATTGGCAATTACAGAATCTGGAATAAAAGTTAGAAAAATGAATCTCTTTTTTCCAATAGTTTGTCATGAGAAAATCAGAAAAAAATATATAAATTCTAATTCCTTGTCTACTTATATCATAAAAATTGCAGCACATTAAATTGTTTCCAATTAGTAGTCTGACAGTATATATTCCTATATAACTTCAATAATAATATTTCAAAATTACCCTAATTTTACTCCTTTATATCATTGTCAGGTTTAGATTCACCATAACAGCGATGGCGAACCTTTTTTGGCTCGTGTGCCATAGAGGGGGAAGCACAGGGGGGTCGTGCAAGGGTGTGCCGCACCCATAATGTAATGTGCAACACCCCCAGTGCGCATGCGCGCATGAGAGGCACTCCCCCCTCATTTTTCCATGCTTTTTTTTGCCCTCCCCAGGCTCCAGAGGCTTTATAGGATCCTGGGGAGGGCGAAAACAGCCTCCCCTGCCCTCCCCTCCGTGGCCCTCCGGAGGCTTCAGGGAGCTTCTGGAGGCTTTCCTGAAGCCTCCGGAGGGCAAAAAACGACCCAAGAGCAAAACGGAAGTCACTTCCGGTTTGCTTGGCGGGTCGGTTTAATCCCTCCGGAGGCTTCAGGAGGCTTCCCTGAAACCTCCGGAGGACTAAAAAGGACTCTGCGATCAAACCATAAGTGACTTCCAGTTTGCTCGGAAGTCACTTCAGTTGACAGGGCAACGCCTCGCATGCCTTGACAAATGGCTCCGCATGCCACAGGTTTGCCATCCCGGCACTATCATATGCCTTACATGCTTGATGTCTTGAGACTGTCTAAAGTTTCAACAAATTAAGGATTAATGTAAGAAGAAACTTAGCTAAAAGCTTTTTGGTTATATTATTACTATTGTTACTATATCTTTATTATTGTTATTAGCTTGTATTCAATGTTTAACACCACTCTTCTTTTTTGATCTTTTTTATTTGTAAATGGTATACCCTGACAATGCACTGTTTTTCAAAAAAGTCTTTATGAATAAAATTTATTTTTTTAAAAATTAAGGATTAAAGAACACTAGGGGCTTCCTTGGGATACCACAAAATTGGTGGCTAAGAAAATTAAATTTGGTATCTCTATCTAGCAACAGGTGGAGATATGAAATTGTAATCCAGTGAACAAAAGATTACAGAAATCCATATCTCCTTATTACAAATCTTATCTGAACTGTATTAAATGTGTTTTCAGTGTCCCAAACGGTTAGAAAATCCTATTCTAAATTATCTGCCATGATAATTTATGGTCTGATAGGATTTATGCTTGAGCAGGATATTGGACTAGAAGACCTCCAAGGTCTCTTTCAATTGTGTTATTCCATGTTTTATTTTCAGAACATAAGTTGTCAAATAGATATTATCAAATGTGTGTCTACTTTTTATAAATACCAACTGACATGGGTGAATTATCCACAATTTCATTTTCTATAGCCTCATAGCTAGTGCTATAATTAATATTTTAGCATCCATGTTAAGATAGATGCCTATACATTTCTTTTTCAGGCTTTTAAATATTTCTATAATGTAGACCTAAAATGAAATTTATAAAAGTAGAAGGAATATTGTGAATCTCTACCAATATAGGTTTTCTGATACATCTAGAAAAATTCTAAACCATTCAATTAAAAATCCATCAGATCCAGGGATTTCCTCAATTTCATTGATTGAATTGTCCTTATAACTTCTTACAAAATCAATTATATATATATATGTTGTATTTGTGCTGATAAATAGGGGTTGTGACACTAAATATATGTGTGTGTGTGTGTGTGTGTGTGTCTGTGTGTTAACCATTGCCTTAGAGCAGTGTTTTTCAATCACTGTGCCGCGGCACACTAGTGTGCCGTGACATAGTGTAAGGTGTGCCGTGGGAAAATTACTTTATATATAGTCAATATAGGCACAGAGTTAAATTTTTTTAACATTTTCTAATGGTGGTGTGCCTCGTGATTTTTTTCATGAAAAAAGTGTGCCTTTGCACAAAAAAGGTTGAAAAACACTGCTTTAGAAGCAATACAGCACAGGCTCGATTCCCAGTAAGGGTATGCTAGCTGATGAGAGCTAAATAGCTTGAAATAGATCTATACTAGTCTCCCTTTATTTATCAGCACAAATATAACAAATGTAACAAAAAGGCAACAGTAAAAAAAAAAATTGGGTTCTGTCTGGATGGTGTCTTGTGACGAGCCGAAGGACAGAGAATGGAAGTAGTGATCTTCCTCCCATATTTGGGCATACCGGGGGTTGTAAAATCTAAATAGATACCTTTCACCCTGGCTGGCTGATAAGGAGTCGAGCTCTGTGGCTCAGTGGTTAACACATCTGCCTTAGAGGCAATACAGCACAGGCTCGATTCCCAGTAAGGGTATGGCTAGCTGATGAGAGCTAAATAGCTTGAAATAGATCTATACTAGTCTCCCTTTATTTATTTATTTATCAGCACAAATATAATATAATATAATACATACATACATACATACATACATACATACATACATATATATCCAAGTGTAAAAATAATGAAACAGATAATTGATTCAGATTCAATACATACTTTTCCAGCTTTCTCCCTTGATTCCCCATAAATCTGATTAAAATACAGTATTGCATCAAATATTCAGATTTTTCTGAAAATGGTAGCCCCAATTTAATTTTAGCTGCTATAAATACGATAGAATGGGGGGGGGGGCTTTATTTCTAGCATAAGGCAAATGTGAATCTTTAATCATCTTTTCCAACTGTATAAGATTAAAATCTCAAAATCTCTTTTTTGCTAAGGCAATACCAATAAAAGATCTCTAAATAAATGCCTTAAATGAATCCCAAAGGATTAACATATTGGTAAAGCCCATTTAAAAAAGCATCTTGACCTATTCCAAAATAGGAGGTTTGGGAGAATTACTTAGAAGCTGTCTTGAATTAGAATGGTATAATCAGGCCACCGTTCCTTAAGCTCCCAAAGCAGAAAGATACAGCTGTTATGTCATGCTTCCATGTACTGGGCATCACATAATTTTCAGCTCATCCCCAGGAGGGAATTTCATTATCTTTACACAGTTTATCCTACCTGGTAGTTTCAGTTACAGTGACCATTAGGAGTCACCGCACAACCAATTTGACCCTTTCTTAGAACACCTCAGAAGCAGGTAGCAAGATGTTACTCTGTGCAGTTCAAATCCTGTACTAGGAATTGAACTCCCGGTCCTTTGGATTTTAGATGACTATACAATGCAGGTCCTGGCTAATTTATAATTACTATTCCATTAGCCTCCTCCAACCTGCCACACACCAGAGGTGGGCTTCACATAATTTAACAACCAGTTCGCCCAGAATCGAAAATGTGTGTGTGCACCTTGCACACATGCGCACTG